TTATGATTTCACGTAATATTTATTTTATTTATGTACTTATTTATTTATTTATTTTGACACCTGAAATATAGTTTAACATAAAAACAAAGGAAAATTGATTTAATTACATGCCTTATAATAATAATATAAACAAATAACAAAAGGAAGAAGGCTATTTTCGAAAGGACAGAGGGTGACCTAACCTATAATATCTTTTAATGGGGGCGCCAAAAAATAAAATTTAAAATTGAGGTCCCAGCGCTGATGTAAAGTCACTTTTACATCAGTCTTCACTTTGCGAAAAAATACACAGTAATTTCATGGGTGATGATGGGGGTGATGTATGGAAAAGAAGTTCTTTTAATAATTATATTCAGTACGTTCTAAATAATTCGATTGTTGTATGCATCTCTTAAAAGAACATAGACTTCATTGTGAAATGTTGATATGGTGGTTAATAAATTATATGAATTTTATAGATTTGTGCAGATACGAGTCGTACAATTCTAAGGACTACGGTTTTGGCAGTGCAGACATTTTAGATAATTCTAACCCATCGAATACGGCGATCGGTCGGATACCATCGCCATTAACACCGTCATCTTTGTCAGCCGCGTTTTCACTGCCGGGATCTTTACTTCAACCACCGTTCATAACTACGGTGCCGCCTTTAATGCAGTCCATAAGTATGCCGCCTGCGTTTTCAAACACTAATACCGGTAAGTCGACGTTTTTTCGTTGTTTATTGTGTATAGGGTGTTTTAAAAGTATGGGTGCACAAACTATAAAGGTAGTGGCACACGTTGAAAAAAAATAAAACAATTCTTGACGAACATGCATTACCCCAAATATTACCTGTTTTCAAAATAATTCTAATTTTTAGTTAGTAAAGAAAATTTACTTTTTATTCGACTGGACATTCTGTGTGTAATTCAATACACTGTTTATAATAAATACTCATTGAGAAAAATATTGTAAACTATTCTTAAAAGGAAAAATATATGCAAAACGAAATTGCAAATAAAATCAATTTACAATATATGAACGATGTACACGTGACAATGATCGATGTGCTACTCGTTTGACACTTCTTGTTATTGTGCTCCTTACACATTGCACGAATGATATACTTACTTGTTTCAAATATTTATACAGTTTATACTTATATTTTTAAAACAATTGGTAGAATGATTTTTAGAATAGTGCAGCTTTTTCTTATTTTTAAGAAAATGTATTATCAACGGCCTCGGTAGCGCAGTAGGCAGCGCGTAAGTCTCATAATCTTAAGGTCGTGAGTTCGATCCTCACCCGGGGCAAATTATTTTTGCATCCCTGTGTGCTGAAAAATATATTATTTGACATTGTATGAATAAAAATATAAATTGAAAATTCACTGTATATTTTGTATTCTTAAACACAATTTTGAAGATTGTAATCAGTGTCTGGTTGCGATCAATCGATGAATGAAACGTATGTCGGTAAAATAGGTAACATGGTTAGCCATCACTTTTTGGGTACGAATAGCGTTACGAGTGTGCACAGACGACCTAGAAGCGAAAAGAAGCCAATACCGGACGAACAAAAGGATGAGAAATATTACGAAAGACGTAAACGTAATAACCAAGCTGCAAAGAAATCTCGAGATGCTCGTAAAATTCGAGAAGATCATGTTAGTGAACATTTACTTACATTTGTATTTGATAATAAAAAGTACCTAACAGTGTAATATAATGCGTAACTGTTAGATAAAACAAAAGTGTTTGCGTTATATTAATGTAATCGAGGTTTTATTTCAGATTGCCCTGCGGGCAACAATGTTGGAACACGAAAACGCAATTTTAAGGGCGCAAGTAATAACGCTTCGAGAGGAAGCACAATGTCTTCGACATATGTTGATTAAACAACAGGCACCGCCATTGCAATCCATAGACCGTTCGATTTCCTCGATGACACCTGTTACACTGTCACCCCCCCATTCCACGACAACTTTGGATTGTCAGATTTGAAATATATTATTAAGAAGAAATCGCTCTAAATGAAATTTTTGACAATCAAACGATTATTTCGGACGAATGACATTGGAAAACGCGTCGTACTTGTATAGTGATATTAAATTGCTCAGTTAGATTTGTTGTATTAGAAATTTTCATATTTTATTTATTAATTTATACATACATAGTCTGTGTATATTCTGTTTAAGAAAAGCGCATCAACAAATTTTTTATTCCTTGTCGATTTAACTAAACAAAAAATTCTGCTATCTTAATTTAACAATAAATGAAAATAATTTTAAAGTTTTTACTATACGTACACATAAAATCGTCCCGGAAATTTTTCCACGGAAATCTTTGAGTATGAAAAAATACGTGTGATATAATTTCGTTTTCTCAGATTAAATAGGGATATTAATGTAAATAGCAATAAATGTATTATTTTATAACTGTTGAAAAATAAAAATCTACGCATTACAAATAAAACAGTCTTGTCATTGTGCAACAATTGTTTAAAATAGAACTTTTACATACTATGCAAAGATCGTAAGTTGCTGTCGAATCAAAATTAGTTGCCCCACCTTCGGTCACACGTATTCCCATTATTAGCTGAGTCAATCACATCTATACAAGTCCATTGTGTGACAGAAGTCGTCAAGAGGAAGCATCGAAACAGAAGGAGATGGAGTGATAGAAAGCGACGAACCGAACGCAATGACGTACTTAGACGTATACATATAGATTCAGAATATTAACTATTTACAGAACAAAAAGTACCGAGAATATTCATTTATTCTTTGCTGTGATTCTTTTACAATTGTGTTTATTACAATTATATATTACAATTTTACATTTCCTACTCTCTCATCGAATCTTTAATGTAAGAGATCTCTTATTTTTAATACTATGGTTATGTACATGATAACGTAAACTTTTCCGCTACAGCATTCGAGTCACACTGATGATTGGTGCGATAAGGTATCTTGTTCATAGACAAAAAGAAATTTAATTTTAATAAATCTGTTGCTATTAATTACTATTGCTATAATTTAAAAAACAACAATTTATCTTAATAATATATTTAACAAAAGATAATAACATATTTAAGAAAAGAATCACAACCTGAGAACATATATATAAAAATTTAATTTACATTACGGTTCCATGTATCCCCTGCAGATACGAAAATTCTACTACTATGCCATGAAATCACTAGAGCCTAAGAATGGGGATCTTGGAAGGGGTTAGGTGGAACAAGCGGCCTAGTCCCCTTGCCCCTGTGCTGTTCAGTTGGCGGGACTCGACAAATTACAATCTCTGTATAGTACATATAACTTATACACACGATTAGTTCAAAAATAAAACACAGACTAGGTATACATAACTATATTTTTCAAAAGGTTGTATGTACATCTGTACGTCATTGGTCCAGCTTCGTTAACTTCGTTGAGTGCATTTTCATAATTTAAAATATAAGTTCTAACGAGGTTGCCAGTCGCTTTTTCAGTAAATTGACTTTTATACGAAGAAATACGGTGGACATATAAAGATTTATTATAGCTTTGCAACGTAAGTAGTACCAATCTTGGATGACACTTATTTGATTATGTCTTAGGTTTAGAGACCATATTTGTTGATCCCTTTCCTTGACTTTATAATCCTCAGTCATTTATTTTTGTAACCAATGAATAATGGTACAATCTGCATAAATTGTACGATAAACGCAATTTAATCATTATTAATAACATGTTGGAATGTTTAACATCATACAGCGACATAATCCTAATGAATTTTCATTTATTATGAACAGTTCTTAATAAATATTTTAATAAAAATGAAATTCGCAATATATTTTATTTTCAGCGGTTGCATTTATTCAGTCAGTGAGCTATGCATTTTCTGTTGGCTAGCCTGTTAGTAGTGTATTCCGTTTTATGTTTTCAACTGTACGCATGAGGGGGGTTATATTTATGTTGTGAATAGTATCCGGGATTCACACCGCTTATGTATTATTTTGTTTTTAGCATTGTAGGTATATGTCGAGCTCAAAAAATAGATTTATAAGTTGAAGGAATCCGAGGCTCCAAATTATTGAATTTGTTCATGTGATCTACAGTTATATAAACCATTTGATAGTGAAAAATGGCAGTGTATGCTGTAGCAATAGCATTAGCTATTTCTGCAGCTATAGCTTTATATTTTATATATGATGAATATTCAACTGGACCGGTAAATAACCATCCACATAGGCATAATTATTACCAATCGTAAGTATTTTCAAAATGTATACACAGACATATTGTGTACAATAAAGTAACAAATGCTTTTTCTCATTTATCTGTGACAATAGACCAGATCAGCAATCATTTGACGATAGTGAAGATATATGCTCAATATGTTGCATGCCATTGGTAATTGAAAATACGTTTAAATTGAACTGTCACCACCTTTTTCATAAGAAGTGCATTGAAAAATTTGTGCAACATGCACAAAAACGACTTGTAAGAAAACTATATAACTAAAAGTTTCTAAAGAGATCAAAGGTTTTTTAATTTATATGATAGTGTAATTTAAAAATTTCTCTTGACATTGTATTACAGGTTCCACAAGTGTGTCCACTCTGCAGACAACCATTCAAGTTTTGATTACTAAATTATCTTTTAAAACTTTGTTGAAAATAGAATATATGCATAAGATGCTAAGGTGAAAATTGAAAATAACTGCATAGTTGCTCATTGCAATAGAGTATTCTTCTTATTGTTAGCTGAGAAAGTGATTCTTCAATCTTGGAAAGTTGAAATGAAAAACATTTATTTTATCTTAAAATATTATAAAAAGATAGAAGTTTTGCTGCTTCCTTGTATTAACAATGAAGTGAGTATAAAGTTGCAATTCCCTTTTTAACATATTATATATTACACGGATATATGCAGGTTGAGTTATATGTGTAAAATGTGATAGATATTATTTTCAAAAATATTCAGCTGTTATACTTTATATTAGGGCTATTACTTTTAACCGGGTAAAATAAAATTTATTAAATTTCTTTTCTTTGTGAAAAATTGTGCACCAAGTAGGGCTATTACTTTCAACCGGGTATTCGTGTACCCGTGAGATACCCGGGTAGATGAAAATAACACGATCGACCCGGGTATCTCACGAGTACTCGAATATGTACATAAAACAGTCGAAATCTCGGTAGTCACTACCGCTGGTGGTTCCCCGGGCAAACAAATGCGGATCGGTCGCGCAGCGATGTAACGATGCCGACGTGTCAAAGTGCACCTGTACTCTACACAACATCGTTTTGAAACCTCTGCCGAAACAGTCGGGAATAATAGATATCTACTCTTAGCTGTCTCATCTCATGAGATACCCGGATAATTTCTATTTACCCGAGTATCTCACGAGTAACCCGGGTACCCGGGTATCTCTTAAGTAACAATTCTACTTTATATGCCTCACCCTTTGTGTTAGACAAGATATTTTGACTTATTTATAACATTAATAACTACATACATCTTTAAATTACAAAATACGTACATATATAATGAATGAATGATGATATATTATACAATGATTGTTTGTTATCTGAAGTGATAAATAAAAAGGAACATTTTATATAATCCATCATCTTTTTATAAACAATTTTGTTATAATTTATATTACTTTATTTAGATAATTAAGACTTTATATTATTCTGTTAGACTTTACAAGGTACTTATAATGTACAACGACGTTCTGTACATCTCTAACGACAATCGACACAAGACTCATTCGCATCTAGGCGAGCCACGAGGCGACAGCGTATAAGAACAAAAGCTGGTGACAATGTCTCCGTTGCTTCCCTCTAGATGTCATTTTATGTATTGCTAATCCTCAACAAATTTATGTAAATTACTGAACTGTGTGATACATTTCTACTGAAATGTAACATTTAACCTTATAAAAGTTTTGTTAATATAAATATGTACATTAGCAATGATATCTTAAAGCCTTACATTTTCATAGTATGATACAAGAAATAGCAATAAAAATTTAAGACTTTATTAAAGTAATTACAAAACTACGTTTACTTACAACAATATATAATAAAATAATACTTCAAAAGATAGCATATGTAGATAAATTATCATATAATTTTATTACATAAACAAGAAAAAGTATATAATAAATAGTTTCTTCTTTTATTCATATAAAACTGCATAAACGTTACATTACAGTGCAGTGTTTTTTTATTTAAGTAATTTTAAAAAACTATTTAATTGTGATAATAAGCCCCCTGGTCACTGTGTTTTGTAAATTATAAAATGGTAAAAAATTCTAAAATACAAATAACTTCTAAAATAAAATGAAAGTGTTTTAGCTAGATTTTAAGTATTAATTCAAACGTGTAATATTTAATTATATAAATTGTTATTAACTTCTATATAACTTACGAACAATAGTTAAAAATGTAAATAATACCGCTGTATAAAAAACGAATAAAACTATTAATAGTTTTGTATTGTTCATGTACAGAATTGTTCTTAACAATGTTCTGTGAAAACAGCAAGAAGTGAAAGTAGTGTCATGATCACTTTGATTGCATTACTGTAATTTTATATCGTTTGCACTGCTCACAAAATCTTATTTTACTTCGTCCAAAAACATATAGCAAAAGTATTATAAAGCAAATGAGTTATAAAGATATTAAATATATTATGCATTTAAATAAGAATGTTAAAAACGCAAAATTTACGAATGTAATTCTTATAATTATACTACATGCTATGCGCTTTCCTTTTCACTAATCGTAAATGGCCACCGCGGTTTCCGGTTCACTCGATTCGTATCCCTTTCGCAATCACGAGCGTAAATCATGATTGCTTTCTATTCTTTGTATTGTCATTTCATGTCTACGAATCTACTACATAGAACACTCGAACAATAAGCGTATACACGTTTCACGAGTGAACGAACTCCTATACAATGAAAGTTAACAACCTCTAAAATTATACATTATATAATAAAATCTACAAAATAAAGATTCGTGGATATTAGCGAGTTACATATAACCTATATGTAATTAATGATCATTAAATAACATATTAGAAATGTACATAAAGAAAGTTAAATAACAGAAAAATTATTTATATAATTAAAACCCGTAAGAAAATTGTCATATTGTATCTATGAAGATATGTTTCATGATATATGTATAACTTACCAACTGTACTATAAAAAAAGCAATCAAATATGTAACTAGTTTGACTTAAAATAGTAGTATGTATACAGTTTTCACATCCACTCACTTATCATGTGCACATGCGCGTACATGTGTTTAAAATGAAAAGCGCGCGAGTGTAATTTAAACTTTCAACTGGATAGGAGGGTTAACTCGTTACGTGTGTAGTTTCCCTCGGCATCTTCGTAACAGCGTGCGCGATGGTTGTAAGCGACGGTAATATTTGTCCAGTAAGCGGCACAGGGAATGTAGAGAACCGGTCAGTTACCTGAGAAACACTCTAGCTGGTAGCAGAACGATCGGTGTTGTAGATCGTTAACCTCAAAGTTCTCTGAAGGTGCTTGGTGGTCAACAACGGTGACAGCTCATGAGGATACAAAGGTGGCGGGAAACGGCGCGTCGACAATGACAGACAGTTAAAAAATTTTGAGTTTCGCGGCTTTTCCGGCATTCAGTTATCAAAATGCGTGAACAAATCGAATACGATGCAGTGTTTACTGTTGATTCTGTGTATCGTTCGCATGATCGTGACTTCGAAAATTGCCGACGACGAACAAGGTAAGAAACTGAAATTTTAGTAAATGCAACTTCTCGTAATCTGTTCGTTACGATAATTCGTAAATATACTCTACGATAAAGACATGTTCATCTGAGAGGGTTTGGAATAAAATTAATGTATTTGAAATTTAAGCGAGATATTATAAATTTTTGTTAGATTTAAAAATTTTTTATAAAAATGGTTACAATATTCAGGGACATTACGGGACTTTTATTTAAATTTAAATTTCTATTTCGTATATCATACTTGCGATTTCAAAGGATTAAAAAAATTTAAACAAGGCGGTAGAAATTAAATTTTCTATCATTAACATTAATAAATGCTTAAAAAAACTAAGCTCCTGACAAGCGAATATTATCTTCCCGCGTCTTTTCCACATATCGTAATTACAAGTTACACAATATATTAGGGACATCGTAAATTCATTAGCGCATTATTTGTTATTATAATTTGATGAATTTTCATTCGAAAAATATATCACCGTAGAAAACAAGTTACTGATCAGTTTAACAACTTTTCAATAATTCCTCGCGTGTTCATCGTCAAAGTTACCTTTCGTGTTGTAATTTCAGTGTAATCGCAATTACGTAATTATAGCGTTCGCAAACGATTCAGTGTAATTTTCTTTTACCATATGCAAAAGAATCCGTGGTCGGTCACTTTACGAATTACCATGGAAGAAATGTTTACTATAAAGGCGACGACAAGCTCGTAAAAGTGGCACCAAAGCGTCTTGAATCGGGACACGGTCTCCATGGTAACTGGTCAAAGCTGAGGAGCTGTTGGATTAACGGTGAAATTGTTTCGTTGGACGACCATACGAATTATTGCGACGTAGTTAACATGAATGTCTTAATACGGGACACAGCACGATCGTACTCCTTCGAGATCGACCGATCTATTTTCAGGGAACAAAACTCGCGGCTGTGGATCGCTGCGAGGCTGAAAATCAATCGTCCCATTTCTCTGGACCGGTTTCACGATTGTCAAGCAGGCCAAAACGAGTTTCCATTAATCTTCGATTTCGCTCGTATTACGCGCATGCGTAGACAATAATTAAGTGAATTCTATCCCGACTGGTTAGCGCCCTCATGTTGCTATTCTTTTTCTAAGACTGTTTCTATGGCGAAATTCGCCCCTCTCTCTAATTCCCACCGTAACATGAGAATTTGAGTAGACGTTTTAAGGATATTCTGTAATCTATGACTTTAGCAGATTCTTTTGAAAGAACGTCATGAACGTTGTTACACGTGGCTATGGGACATTATTTCAAGCGAATGTCCTCTCTGTGTACTACATTGATCTATGCGATAAGACTTTCGACAAGACACACATTTTGAATCTGTACATCTCTCTATTAGTGATTTCGTTCTTTTCCTCTCCTCGAAGTAGATTTAAGTAAATTATTCGAGGATACGGTAACAAGATTTCGTAATTATCGCGGTGAAAAATCTCGCACGAGAAGGTAGTCGTCCGAAACGAATAACAATTAAATCATTCCAGACCGGTCTAAGCGGCAGGATAATTAGCTCAGCGACAATGTAAGCGCCGTGTTAAAGTAGAAACAGCCAGAAACTCGTTCTCGTTCGTGGGCGCCTGTTCTTTAATTGCGGAAGTATAATGGGGAAACGTGCCGTAACACCAAACATGGTAACACCGTATCGGTACATAATAATTACGGTTTCGACGCGAAGGTACTGGCGAATTCACACGTGGCTAACAACGGTAAAAACTTTTCTTGGCTGAAACGATAAAATAAAAAATTTTTCTCTAAAAAGAAAAAAAAAATATTTTTTTTAATTTTCTATTAGAAACCGTCTCTAATCAAACATACTCATTCACCGGTTAAATCTCGCGTTTAACAAAGAAACAAAGATAGGTTAAGAGAGAAGAGAATCGATCGAAAGTATATTCAGAAGATTTACAAATTTTTACAACTGGCATCGACCTCGTGTAACGGGGTTTTGAGTCCTTCGGTGATTTACACGCCATCTTAGACGATGTAACTGTTAATGGAGATACGAATGTGGGAACGTGTGGGACGATGGTGTGCACACAGTCGCGTAACCGATAATCTTACCCGGTTAGGATCCAATGAAAGTAGAGACCCCCCAAGGCTTTTCGTTTTTTCCACCTAAATATATGTAGCACGTATCGAAGCGAGCTGCTCAAACCAATCGGCTTTCTAATAAACATATTACGTTATTGTTGGTAATGTCGTTAGCATCATTGACAGTTATCGACGTGCGCAATATCGTTCCCGTTTCTTTGCGTTTCTCTTCCATTAGATAGTACGTCTAAATAGTTTTATAGGACACCTATCCTTTACGTACACACACACACACACATGTTCAACTTTCTATGCGTACCACCCGGTTTCATTTATTACGCTTAATCCGTAATGGCGTCATAATTATGTTTTCTCTCATCGCGACAGGGTTGTTATTATCATGAATGGTTGGTCTTAGCATTTATTATAAAAAAAAAAAAAAACACGTAAAGTATTTATCGTTACAATGGATAAAAACAACGGTGTACAATATAATATTATGTTGAAAATAAACTAAGAATTGATGTTTTAATCAAGTATTATTGTTTTAAGCTGTTACAATGACGAAAAACAAGGGGAATCCCCTGTTAAGGAACACCCATTCATTACCACTGAATTGGATTGCAGTAAAAGGATTAGTACGCGACTGGGCGCCTCTGGTATGGCTTGCACCTGGCGAACTCTTTTTACCTCTTGGGGTACCTGAGTTTCTTGACAACATGCACTCCAACGATGACTATCTTAGCACCAGAGTCGACGTAGGTAAATGACAAACGATTAGAAGCAACTGATAGAATGTAAGAAAAAAGAAAAAAAAATATTCTAAAGTCATGTAAAATATAATTCTGATCGTTTTATTGAATCCGATGGTTTTTGAATTTGACAGAAGTACTATTGGGGAATCGATCGTCGTTCCTGTACGGCCGGAAGCCAGCGGGCACGGTACCAGTTTACGCTGTGATCAAGAACTGCGCCTTTTCAGACGCTTCTACGGACGCGATAAATTTCAAGAACATCAGGGACGGAAGAAAGTCACAAAGAAAGGGGGACGAGACGGTGATAGGATCGAAGAACGCGGTGCAGATCGATGATCTCGCGTCGTCGTCCATGATCCTCACTAACGATCTTCCGGGGAAGATTCGGAATGGCGACATTAAGCAAAGTGTAGAGGTAGATCGAGGGGGGAAAATTTCACGGATAATGTAACAAGAAACGCTACGATAGTAGAAATGCAGAGGGGCACAAAAAAAGTAGGAAGTAATTCGTTGAAAGACTAATTGAAAAGGTAGAAAAAGAAAAAAAAAGAAAGTTTCCGCTTGTTGATTTATAAAGTAGCAATCATTCGAATGAGCCATTAGAATGGAGATTAGGATTTCTTAGAACACGTTAAAGGTAGTGCACAACGTTCACAGAGATAATTCTGCTGATTAGCTGATTGAAACGGTACGTTCGTGGAACTGCTTGCAGAAACCTGGTGATTTTGAGAAAAAGAAGAAAAAAGGGAACAGGTCCCGGAAACTGCACTTTCACGTGACCTATTGGATGTTCTATCCGTTCAGCGAGGGAAAGGCAGTCTGCGTTCTGGATCTTGGATTTTTTGGTAGCTGGCCGATACCCACCGTGGGCGGGATGTGCTTTGGAATGCTTAAAGAATATGGCAACCATGTGGGCGATTGGGAACACATGAGCCTTTATTTCAAGGTAGATAAGCTCATGCCAGTTTCGTTTCCTTTCGAGATGGAAAGGAAACGAAATACTCTTTGTTCGTTCTAGAAAGCACATAGAGATGTTCTCCTTTACGCTCATACAGATTGCATACTAAACTGAATGTATGAAAAAAACGTTTATTATATTATTTCTATTACACTTATAAGTATACAGGGTGTTTGATCTAACTTGAGCCTTATGACGATATGAAAATATGTTGAAGGGCGAAATTATTCTGATCAAAGGGGCAAATGTTGCTATGTATTGATAATTTTTTTCATGGTCACATTTTTTGAAATTTCCATATATTTTGGCGCATGCTTAGAAACGAACAGATTAAGACCTAGAAGATTCCCTTTGTATTTTTATGGTTGTATATTTTTTGTAAATAATAAAACGATTCTTTTCTTTTTTTTTTTTTTCCAAAATTCAGGATGCTAATTACCCATCGGCCATGTACGTATCCGCTCACGACGCAGGCGCGTTTTATCGGTACGATATGCGAAGCGGCACCTTCATTTACGAGAGTCAAGAGACGCGAAATGGTATCTTCCAGAAGCCCATATTTCCCGAAAGAGTTTTCACCGCTGGCGGCTCCCATCCGATACTATTTAGCGCGCGAGGATCGCACGGGCTCTGGACAGCACCGGGTAAACACAAATTCGTCAGATTACCGCGTCTTTACGATGAAAGTGGCTTTGGTACCGCTTGGCCCACATGGAAGAAGATGGAATTGCTTCTGAAAGAGGATAACAATATCTTACCCAGCTGGATGACTTTCAGAGGCAAGTGGGGCAATCCTAAGAGCAACTGTCATCCCTTGGCCAGACTCGGTTTCAACATTTGCGAGTTCGTTGACGGACCGACTGGTATTCCCATGAAACAGTCGAGTTTTCGGTGCTGACGATAACCGTTTAGAATTCTTTAACATGTTCGCTGCTAGTGTGTGTGAAATACTAAATTATATGTTTTAATTAGTGTTGTTCGATGTTGTACGTATTTTTATAATTTAATATGGACCTAATCTAACCTATATATAGATGAAATTTAATATGAATAGTGACATATGTAAAACTTGTGGTAGCGAATGTGTTAAATTTCAGATCGTGTTAATATTGTTTGTGAACGTAAAACTTGAATAATTTTAATAGTTAGGAAGCAAAAGTTTGTGATGATACAACGTAAAACGTGGCACAAGTTAGTCCTTTTTTTAAAATTAATTGATCACCGAACACTGTTCTCCCCTCATTTTACAGTGCTACCAACTGTGTCTGTTATTTTATGGTGTTATCTTGAACAGCCAGCTGATTTTGAACTAATTGTATTCTGCCTCTCCGTGCAAGGATATAAACAGCGGGGTTTAACGTGAGAGATGAATGTTAATTTAAAGAAAAATAATAGACGCATGATGTTTCGTTGAAGTCGTTCATTTTAATAATTCGTGTCAGCTTAGCAAGGAATTAGAAAACAGCGTCGTCGTTCGTGAAACTCGCTTTTGATTAATGTCTTCGTAGTTTAAAATTTATGCTCGATGTAAAACGATAATAAAATACAATTTTGTCATTAGAGATAGATTGACAATAGATATTAAAAGGTGTAATAGATTTTTCGTATATAGGCATTGCGTGGTACGTTCTCGTTTAAGAAAGAACACTAGGCAAATGCGGTAATTGGCGGTTACTCGTAATTATACATATCTCGATGTGATCCTTTGAAAAGAGACCGATTAAAAGAACACTTTATTACCTGCGCCGAAATTATCACTGTTAACACGATCATCGACGCAAGGGGCAAAAGAAGTTCTGCGGTCTTTTGATAGGCCTGTGCAGTCGGACCAATTGCAATAAATTCGAAGAAAAGCTCTTTTTTTTTTGTTTTTTCTTACCGAGCATCGCATATTTCGAAGGTTTATATCGTGCAGTTTGAAATAGACCGTGTGAATAGGCTTGCCTCGATAGATAAAACATTCTTACTTTAGGCTTGAAATTGAACGCGCGTGCATATGTGTTACGGCTCTTACGATTAAAAACGGTGATTATTGCTAATTGACCGCAACGACAAATTTCATTGCGATTCACAATCCTGCAAGTTGCACGATTAAAGTTCGAAATAAGGAACGTTCTCGTGCGTCAGTTTTATCCCCTGTTACATTGTTCACCCTCAAACTGGATACATCTGCTATGCTTCCTTGACGAACTTCCTTGGTCTCTGGAATTTCTTCAGAGCTCTTGTTGGCTTTGCATGCTCAAGGATGCTCGCAATTTTGTACCCAGCACCTGTGAAAGAAACACTCGACTCTTAGATGTTCGAGCAACAATATCAGTATCAACGAGATCTACTCGGAGACCTCATCTTCGTTCGACCGTTCCACGCCAATGCTGTGTATCCCGTTCCTCAACAATGGGGTGCCTTTGTCTTTTCCCAAGACGCGTGCATTCAACTGAATCTTCAAAGGGGTTCCTTCCTTGCAACACATTATTTGCACCTCTTCTTTTAGAATCTTTTCTTTATACGCTAGCAGCTTTAATTTTAATCTGTTAAGGAAATAAAAACTGACTGTAATTGAGATTGCTAAAGATTTCTTAATGATGTTCTTTACAGGAAAAAATCTTTGTATATTTATAATGTTACGAAATTGATAATGTTTTATAAAATAAAGAAGTGTACGAATGTGCAGTAAGAGGTGGTTCACCTTAAACCCTCTTTTTCTTGCATCAAGTCTATAATATGGCAGTTGAGGTTATGAGTTCCGGTTGCTACAGCTGGTGCAGAACATTTTCGGTCCCCGTGTATACATAGGTTCCACGGAATTGAGAATTCCACGTGATATCTAGAAAATAATAATAACAGTTGTATGAAAATATAAATTTGTAATCATTTTTTTTTTATATATTTCTAATAAAAAATGTGTAACCTGTGATAAAGTTGTAAAAATCCAAGATGAGCATCTATCTGTCCATGTCGTTGCGGTTGTATCATAATATTGTTGTCTTTTCCGAGGCCACTTCCTCCGCTGAAGTGTACGTGGTGCTCTAAACATGATTTTTAATCAGTAAAAATTTACGTCCATTGAATGAATTATGTACATACATTCACGACGAGATGAATTGTTACCGCTGATTTCTACAAAATACTTAGCAAATATCTATTTCTAATAATATATAACAATTGTAATATTTTAAAACTATTTTACAATACAAATCACAAGTTTACTATTTCATTTTTTATATTTTTCGTGATTACATAATAATTTTGAATCTTTTTTGATTGTATTCGTCACAGCCTCTCGACCGGAAATGAATTGTTAAGGGTACTACGTGTTTATCGAAAAACTTCGATCACCTGTCGTAAATTTATCGATTTATTTTCTTTTAAATATGACATTCTCATGTTCCAAAATCTAAGTTTTTGTGTATATTTTTAATTATTAGTGTCTTGTTCACTTTTGTATTATGAGTATAAAATATTTAGTACGTTGACCGTTGATATTAGAATATGTAATCATGATAACTCGATAAAAACGAACGGAGTGACAGTTTTGACAGATAAGTACTAATTGTAAGTTACGCAACTCAGCCTTTGTGTCAGACAAATTCTTTAAATTGGATTTTCTTCAATGAAAAATCACGGTTTAAACATTTTCTTACATAATTTCTTTCTTGTACTTGCACACAAAGTATCAGCTGCCTTCGCGGCAGATTAATTTGAAAGGAATAAACAAACCAGTATATTTTTGTGTAAGTTAAAAATGTTTTTATTACTACATTTAAAAATCGCTCAGTTAATACTTGAATTATTAGTACAAGTCACAGTCATTGATGAATTGCAAATACTCTGTTTACATATAATTAAATATTCATACGAATATTTAATATTATTAATTCGGACATATAAGCGTTTAAATGGCTATAAGAAACAAAGATAACAGTTCCTGTTGTAAAAAGAGTGTATCATTACATGTATTACGTGATACTTTACATAATGCTCATATGTAGGAGGAAAATACTCCACTGTCAAGCCAATAGTATAAAATTTCGAGATATAAAAGGAATGTAAGATTAAGTATAAGTTTACTATCTGACTTAGTGTTTTAATCCTGGCAAACAATATTACATTGTAATACGTCACTTTCTGTATCGTGATTTTTAAAATTGAATGCAAAATCTAGAAATTTCATTCGATATTCTCTTGTATACACGCACAAATGAGTCAACGTCCTTGTTCGTACAAAACAGTTAATCAATCGCCACTTTTTCTCTACATAATGTACACTTATTTCGTCATAATGTACAAATAAATTTTTTAACCTACAAAATATTAAAAGTTAAAAGTGATTAGATATCGACTGGATACCCACATGGGGCGTAAATCTCAAATAGTTATGTAACAGAACGAATTGACCTTTGCAAGTACGCAAAGTGAACGCGGGAAAGCTATGAAGAAAAAATCGAAATCTACAAAGTGAATTAAGAATACAAAGTTCGTTCGATAGCAAACAGGTTCGAAATGGCGCGCTTTCAAATGACCCAATTACGAGTGTATCCTAACCTAGTACGTCAACTACTGACCGGCTTCAGATAAAGTATTAAAACACACGATTTTCTATCAAGATTTAAATCCGAAATAATTCTTCAGGTGATTAATTAATTAATAGTCATCAAGTTTCAGTAATACATGGTTGCAGTGAACAACAGAGAATGATGAATTTCAATAGTGATAAGAGTGACCGTACAAGGCATGGTCGATTACGTATTGAAGTAATATTTTATTACCTTTATCTCCCATGTTTTACAAGACAATGTGACAGTTGTACTTTCATACTCCACACAACTAATTTAATATTCTGTACCGCAACGACTAAGCTATTCTTCCGATGTGTTGGTACGTATATCACACTTGTGAATATACGTCTAACGCATCGAATAGTTGAACTACCTTGATACTGATGGCAGCACTGCTTTTTTTTTTATCGTTCCCAAATTCCATTCTCATTTTTCCGTTCCTTTTCAAGCTTACTATGGAGGGTACTAAGTACTGAGAAAATTCTAAAAAATTCAACATCTCCGGTATTATAGACTCAAGTTAATTGAAATACAAGCTTGTATCATTTCCATTTTTTTATTAATCAGAACAAAATTACACATAATCTGCAAAAAAAAAACTTGTGCAGTGATAAGTGGAATAAAAAGTTTCAACTTTGATCTACTACTTCACGATTTAAAGCATGTAAAATACAAGCACGATAACCTTATTCGTAATATTAGATAAAAATATTCTATGAAAAAGACTTCTTATATCAAAAAAAAAAAAAGAAAATAGAAACGAAAAGAAAACAAATATGCATTGTGCAGGAGACTGCAATTCAACGAACATGCAATTTTTCTTCATATTTACTAGAACAAAGTAAAAAGAGAAATCTACTATAGTCTACAAGTTTCAACTATACATAGTACAATAGTTCGAACTATACATAATTTTATATGCACAAGTGCATCGGGAAACTTCCAATAAATCACAATTAATGCGAATTCATTAAATTGTGTGCAACAATGATTATGATGTTTATTACCAATTTCCTGTGTAACGATGATGGACAAATATAATCTTCGATTACCATCTTGTTTCGGCAATTGCGACATCCGGTAACCATTGCAACTATGACTTTATTTCGTGTTTACTCGTTCTCCTTGGTAGGTTTTATTAGTTCTTTCTGCGTTTCAATTAATGCATTGATGAATTAATTTACAGCAATGTAAAATATATGTTTCAATCGTTGCAGATGCCTTGTTTTAACGGGTTTTTTCTCACGGGGGACAAAAAAAAATACTTTTTTCTGCTGCTATGTTACAAAACTGTCAAAAATAAATGGACACATCGACGAGAAACAGCTGCAGAATTAAAAGCCGTCGTAATGAAAATATCATTACTGCTTTCTTGCAATTTTCAAAACAAACACATCAATAATGTCGAACAGGAAAAAAATGATAGAAATGAATATTTCTCACTAACATTTTATCATTTCCAGCTCGATCCAATTAGCTCTGTAAGCTACCTAAAAATCAACTAGTTAGTCGCAATTTTATATCAACGTGGCCACGAGTTGGTCGTTGTTTATTCGTTATTTTCGAGGCACTCGTCGAACTGTACAGCGGCAGAGAATAAAAAAGGTCGACGTTTAGGATTAGACAGATCGCTGTCTGATGTTTAATCGTGCTTTGTCAATATTGCAAATAACGATTTCCTCGAATCGACGAGCAATTTCTACCCTGACGAGGCATCCGACGTAAACAACGTGTAATTACAATTTTATAATTTACCTTGGTACTCGAACGAATGAATGAAAAAGTAATTTTCGCCTTTTCCAAGTTTAGAGAAAAAACCGTCTGTGGCTCTTATCGTTTCTCCTGTGCAACGGCTGACCGTTGAGAAATCATCTCGAACGTATCGTGTTTCACGTTTCACGGTGAAATCACTCAGATAGGAAGAACATGTTATTATATACATACAAATGTCTCGGGTAAAAGAAATAATTCTAACATTATCTGGTGCAAATTTCCACTTATTCTACATATATCAAATTTAACCTGTTTACTATATACGTTTAACATTTACAGAACAATTTGTCTGGAATATTTTATGGATATGTACTTCGTCCTGACCGAAATTTCTTTCACGTTTCGCTTAGATTGATGAAGTCATAAAATGTATGGATTACGAAAATGTTTGGAACCTTTGAACCTGTTATGACTCAAGTTTGTCCATTAATCTTTCACCTTCTTCCCACGAAAATTTATGCATACATTTATTTAAATATCGTTGGCCATCGGGCGTTAAGCAATGACTGCTCTTGAAATAAAGAAAAAAAAGGAGAGAGAGAGATGTGTATATATATATATACATATCAGCCGTTTTTTTTTAAAGTGGTATATGTCCATTTTTGGAAAAAATTAGTTAATGGTAGGTTTAGTTAGATATAAAAAAAAAAAATAATGAACTTATACCACTTTCAAAAACAACAGCTCATATAATTGCATAACACGTTTTATTTGTATTACGTTCAGCCAATTAAATGGTATAATCGATTCAGGAAAATCATTCTTCCTATCAGGTACACTTAAAACCACTATGTATATACCATGCTATTAATAAGTTGCTAACACACTCAGAAAAAAACATTCACCGTGACCTTCACGTCGAACAGAGAGAAGCGAGTCGTAAAAATCACGAGTCCCGTTCGATCCTACGATGAAATTCAATAGGGTACAAGGAAAAGAAAAATAACACAAGATCTGTCACTCCTGCTTGTGAATTATCGACGTAACTTCAGGCGATTCGAGAAGGAGGAACTAGTAAAAATCGGCGTTGGTTTTTTGCACGCAGAAACAAATTCTCAATGACTCGTTGCTCCCTCGAGCATTTCGAGCGACACGCTGATACATTTCCTTGAGTGTTACGTACTTATGTTGCGTTCAAATAGGCATAATTTTGTCACTTTTAATACGTTTTGTCAATGCAACACTCTAATATCCTCTGTCTGGATGTGGCACAGTAACGCAGCAATAATAATAAAATGAATGTTTACATAAAGATGTACATTACGATGCTAATTATCCGCTAATTATCCCCAATGGAGATTTTTTCATCTCGGCAGCACTTTAACCAAGGTACACTGAAATTAGTAACACTATACGACGTTAAAAAAACTGCACAGCTTATAAATTTTCAGATAATTTCATACAGTGGTTGCGGAAAAAGATTACCATGTGATAAATCAGAGTGGTCATAAGAGCAATTACTCGGTATAAACAGATCATTTCCATGTATAATTTTTACGGAACTGACTAAGAGGAATAAAAAACAGGACTATAGAGAGAGAGAGAGAGAGAGAGAGAGAGAGAAAGAGACGATTATTTAAGTTGAAAACCAGCACCGCGCATATGCGTGCGTCACTTCGTGATATCTGCTGTTCATTTTTCTATTTCTTCTTTTTTTTGCACCATCACGAAAGCCACGAAAACGGAACGAATCGACCAGGCACGTTTTTTTCTCGATGTCAATGAGCTGCTCTCTAGGATCTTTCGGATATATTATCGTTATGTAATCGATGAATATTATATTTGGCCTGTGGTAAAATATCGGTGCGCTTCCATTCCGAAAAATAAAGAACCGTTTTACCGGGTGGAACGATGGAGGGAGAAATCATGGGACGGCTTAGTCCGTCGTGTTGTGCGGTGGATCGTACCTACAACTATAAAACCTCGTCGATCATTCGACTTGTATTCAGTTCTCAGGGAACATTCGAACAGACTTCTAACCTCGTAGTACGCAGGCCAGCGCAATAAAACAGAAATCATGAAGACCATCGCTGTCGTCTTTGCCCTCTGCTTCGTTGGTGCTATGGTAATTTTCGAGCTTTTTTTCTTTTTTAACTTCTTTTGCATTTTTTCGTTAAGATTGTATCGTCAAAATTCACCGCTTCACTTGTGCCAATTTATGTTGGATTTGTTTATTTTTATTACAATATCCCATGATAAATGTGGCATTTTCGAGTTTTAATTTTTATCCAAACTTTCTTATTTCCATCTTTCAATTATGTTACATCTAATGTTAATCTGGGAATTTGCAATTCCCTCGCGATAAAATTTTATTCGTTTCGAAGTGAAGAACGATCCGAGCATCCCTATGTCGAATCGTTTCCTGTTCAAACGATTCAGAAAACTTCTGTATGTAATAAACAGAACACATCTGTATCTGATTCTCTGAAGGAAATTTGGAGTAACGTGTGATTTTCTGGAGTAACGTATTAAGTTATTCGAAATTCGTTGGAAGATTATTGTACATTCTGTATCGTTGCACAAGAGATAAACGAATCTCGGTGTTTTCAATTGAATTCGCTCTCACGATTAAACCGAAATTGTATACGTGTATAGGTGTTGATATATCTCGTGTGTGTAAAGTCGAGTTTCGAATAAATAAACTTCAGATAGAAAGGGCTACATGTAAACATTTTTTACTCGTCTACGAAAAAAAAAGAAAAAAAAACCGATTATTTGCTAATTTTAATGTTGATACGACAAGTTCAAAGCGTATTTTAATACTGTTTACACACCACCTTTTTTCAGGCACTCACGGACGAGCAAAAAGCCAAACTGACCGAACACAAAACCGCTTGTATCGCAGAGACTAGCGTTGATCCACGTAGGTTGAAAATAACGAAACATTTTACGGTAAACAATTGAATAGAAAATTTTCATCGATGTTGTTTCCCTTGCAGAGGTGGTAGAGAACGCGAAGAAGGGTAATTTTGCACAGGATGACGAGAAATTGGGTTGTTTCGTTTCTTGTATGCTGAAGAAAATTGGAATCGTAAGTAACGCTATTATTTCATTAATAATACAATTAAAGAATCATACAGAGGAAGGGAGAGAGAGAAACAGAATTGTTACTTTTGGTACAGATGAACCAGGACGGCAGCGTGAACGAAGAAGTTACCAGGGCAAAGGCTCCAAGTGATATTCCTAAGGATCAGGTTGAGACTATAATCAACAAATGTAAAACTGCCAGTAAGTAGCTACTTATTGTGTATAGACTTTAAGTATGGTTTCTAATTTGCTTAGATTAATTACATTGTTAATAATGTAATTTCAGCTGGCGCCAATGACTGTAAGAAGGCAGCCAACATAGCGTCATGTTTCATGAAGAACAAGACTTTCTCTGTACTTGAGTGAAGAACTGTAAATCATGGAAAAGGAATTATTTAATCAATAATTAATGTAATTTACATTGAAGTTGACATAAGATATTTGTAAATTTGAATTAATAAATGAGTACCTTACAACTACCTCACGTATATATTTTTTTCTTCATTATCCTCTCCGAAGATATGTTTCCCCGTCAATGCAAAGACATTACACGTTCCTGCCTTGTTTGATCTAGCACGAAATATTATACTTTTAAAATTGCATGTTTCAAATGGAATCTGGAATATTAATCCGTTAATTGCAGAAATGATTTCTTAAGACGTGAGACATGTTTTAATTTAAATTGTAGTTAAAGCTGGATAAAAAAGAATAATCTGAATGGATTGATGGCGCGATTGCAATTGAAAATGATAATATGGTCGGTAATACCTGCTCCGTCGATAATGTATCAAATAGCTATGTTTTTAATGCTCATGTTTAAAAATCATAATTCTACGCAATTTTTTGATAAAAGACACATTGATTTTTAGTATATCGTACAAGGATTTGTGTGAATAATATACGCAAGTGATAAATCTCAGTCAACTCACTTATCTTTCGTGACTGTTTACCTTAAATTTATTCATAAATAAAACTTTATAAGATTGCATGTGTTAATATATTTTTTATACCTTAATATAGTTAAAACTGAATTATGTTAAGTGACATTGAACATTATAGTTCAAAATTCGATTAAGTTAAATTCAAATATTTAATTTTCCAGCAACATTCTGGTAGTTATTAAAGCAAATACTAAGTAATTACAATATGACTGATAATACTAACAATAAGTAAAGCTACTATTTTAATAATACATTCGATTAAAATAATGTCTATATCGAATATTTTGATGTCTAGTTCTGACAGATGAGTATATGCGGGTATACTTCATACGCAATAACTACCTTTGAATTCTTTTACTATGTTCAGTGGACAAATCAGTTCCACGTTGGATATGTTCGCAAAGTGAGCAACATGGCTTCGAAGGAGATCAACCTTTCTGTGTTATACGCAGAATTAAATAAATTGGGCCAAAATGGAGAGTACGAAAGGGCTATAAAAGTTGCTAATAAAAGTATGTTTTTATAAATCTGAGTTCCGTCAGTTATTATAAATCTACTGTCAACATAACCTATGCCCTACTTTTTGAAAACAGTATATATTCAAAAATAGAACATTTGTTTAGTTTTAGGTACTTCCCAGGATGAGGAAGCTGCCTTCCATTGCAAAGTTATTTGCTCCATTCAATTATCCAAATTCAGTGATGCACTTCAGTTTATTTCTAAGAACCCAAGATTGGCAGGGTATGTTTTGTACTGTCTATTATTTATTCATAGTTATTTTTATTCTAATCAACATTTAACTCATTTAAGAAAAATTAAGACTATATTTTCTTGCAGCAATTTAGATTTTGAAAAAGCATATTGTTTATATCGATTGAATCAAGTGCCAGAAGCTTTGAAGGTAGTGGATAATGTCCCTAATCCATCACTGAAACTGAAGGAACTCAAAGCTCAAATATTGTATAGGCTTGAGAAGTATGAAGACTGTTTCTCTGTGTATAGAGACATTATAAAAAATTCTCATGATGAGTATGAAGATGAAAGAGAAGCTAATCTTGCAGCAGTGATTGTAAACTTAACAATTGAGGGTTCTGTGAGTTTTCAATATTTGAAATCATTGAAGTGTATCTCAGTATTTGTGTCTTATATATATATTTTTTTTTCCAACAGAATTTGGAGGTTCCTGTATTACGTGAAGATACATATGAACTGACATATAATGCAGCTTGTCAGTTAATTGCACAAGGTAGCAAAGGAGACAAAGCTACTTTATGTGATGCAGAGAAGAAGCTTAGGGCAGCTGAGAAAATATGTAAAGAAGGTCTAGAGGAGGATGGAAATACTGAAGAAGAGATAGAAGATGAATTGGGAATTATTAGAGTTCAACTTGGATGCTGTCTTCAGCTTCAGGGTCGTGAAAAGGAAGCTCAAACATTATATACTTCTGCTTTGAAAGCAAAACCAGATGATATAGCTTTGGTAGCAGTTGCAAGCAATAACCTTGTGTGCCTCAATAAAGATCAAAATGTATTTGATAGTAAGAAGAGAATGAAAAGTGCTACTCATGATAGTTTAGAGCATAAATTAACATCAAGGCAAAAAAGAAATATTGCATACAATCAGTGCTTACTGGCTTTATACACTGATCAGGTATTAAATTGATTAGTAACGCAATATTTGTTTAGCTATTATTCGGGATTGATTATAGCATATTTTACATATTTGCAGGCAGAACAGTGTCAACAACTTTGCAATAAACTTGCTAAGGATTATCCTATACTGGCCGCGGACGCAATGTTCATTAAAGCGGTGCAACTTGCTAAAGACGGTAAAGCAAAAGAAGCAGCAAAACTATTAACACAGTATGCAGTTGAAGAGAAAGAATTACCAATGAAGTTAGTTTGCGTACAACTTTTGTTGAGCCAAGACGAGAGACAAGAGGCAATTGATATTCTCGAAAATCTAAATGAAAGAGATAAATCATTACCTGGCATAGTCAGCGCACTCGTAACTCTTCACATGGCTGACAATAATCGTGAAAAAGCATCAGCTGCTTTAAAAACTGCAGTGAACTACTACAAAAAGAATAAAGTAAGCACGTTTAATTTTTTACATTTATCATAATTTTACTTAATGCGTATTTCTAGGAAGCCACTGATAATTTAGGAGAATTATGGCGGCAGGCTGCCGATTTCTATCTTCGCGGCGGTGAAGTTAAAGTAGCGGCTGACATTTTACAAGAAATGGTAGACGCTTCACCTTCTGATACTAAGACGTTGGCACAATTAGTAGTGGCCTACGTACAGTTTTGCCCTGAGAAGGCACAACTTCTATCTAAACGTTTACCACCTCTACATGATCTCTCTGAAAAAACCGACGTCGATGCCTTGGAAAGCAGTAACTGGGTTATTGGTACTAAGGTGATCAAGAAGAAAGTAGAACCATCTCCTGGGTAAGTTCACTATTCTTTTAATGTAACTTTCAAAACGATATTATGAATTGATAATTAATACATTCTATAGCAAACCTGCTGCTGATATAACGGAAAAGAAACGTAAGAAGCGCAAGCGCAAAGGAAAATTGCCTAAAAATTATGATCCAAATGTTGCACCGGATCCTGAAAGATGGTTACCTAGACACGAACGTAGTGGATTTAGGAAAAAGCGCGACAGAAGAAATCGGGATGTCACGATGAAGGGTACTCAAGGTGCTGCAACGGGGGCTAGTGATATGTAGTACGTATATAAAAATATATATATATACCTTTTTTTAGTGAAAAAAAATATAATGCTATTTTTTATTATTATTTGTCATTACAGCGATATTACTAAAATGCCTACGAACACAAAACCTTCACCTAATCCGCGACATAGCCCGGCGGTAGAAACTTCCGGCCCACGGCAACAACAACGTAAAGTTCAGCAGAAAAAGAAAAAGAAGGGAGGAAAATGGTAATAAGAATCAGTTTTATTTATATTGCATTTCTTCGAGAATTATCGTATACGAAATATATAGTATTTCTATACTGCTAGTGCAATTAATGATTAAGAGACACATCTGTTTAAGAAATTAAACTTTTTCAATTATACATACACTTTTTATTGCTGTACATATGTACAGTACACAGTACTGCCATTTTCAAACAACCGTACTTTATACCAGTGCTATTTGATTGGTGTAAATTTCTAACTACTAAATTTGCTATTAGATTAAAGTGTAATTAGATTTCAATGGAATGAAAATATACACAGAAAAATATGGTACATAAAATATGTTTATTCTGTATTTTTTTAATCCTTTTGTCAACTTTTGACAGAAATCGACAATATAATATACAATATAGGTAACATGTTTCTTGCGTACATTGACTAGGATTTGGCGATACATATCTTTATTCTTCTGTTGGTAACAATTGTATATAAAAATACAATCTGATTTGAGTTTTTCTCTCTCTTTCTTAGTAAATCTGTACTCCGTGTAGATAGATCGTGATTGTGCGTCAGATTTTAACATTCATGTAACAGATTTATATATGTATATATAATATAATAAGTGGCATAATTCGTAACTACAATATCTTACGTTACGTATAATAATAAAATGCCACATCAGTATAGTTTTCATCATCGTGAAATCGTAACTTTGTGAAGACACACTTTGATTACATATCACTGTAACATATCGATGTATGTGCACGCACACGTGCATGTAGAAAAGAATATCTTCATTCGCTACCATTCTAACTTATTGTCTCGTATTATCATTGCACAACACAGCATTGTTTGTCGTTTATATATAAATTTATAACAGAGGCAACTGTCGAGGTAAGAATAACCGTATATATCATAAAACGTTCCTACTTCTGTTTTTTCTTCTATATAATTCTCTAATGTCGAGGCTGTAAATTGCCCCTATCTAGACTTTTACTTAAAATACTTAATACCCTTCCATTAGAAAATAGTACAACAGGCACGCTCATTCAACTGGTCTGAACATTGTGATATGCATAATACGTAGAAAATAAACAAGCACTGGAAAATTCATTTACCAGTCCTAAGCAAGTACATCCGTCACTGATGTTCTGTCATGCCGCACTCATCTATTGGCAAGCAATCCCCCGTGTTCCCAAAACCAATCGCCAAATCAGTTCGACAAAATGAATTTGTCAAAGATGAGAATAGATGAGTAAGGCACAAATGCATGTAAATGTCATGAAACACTTACATATGATGTAAGTAATTCTCAAATGTGTGAACATTTTATATTACCAACAAATAATGCTACTTCTCGGGAATAATGCCCTCCCAGGCATCTTCTCGTTGTTTATTAGCTAATCTACGTTTTTCTGAAAACAATAAATTTCATTTTTATCTTTTTGTCTTGCCTTTTTAACACACACACACACGCGCGCGCGCGAGAGAGAGAGAGAGAGAGAGTAATATTTACCTTTAGCCTCGCGTAGTACATTTTTTTCGTGTTCGCGTTCTTGCCTAGCGGTGGCTAATTTCACTCCAAGAGCACCCGTAACCAAACGCCTGGCCAATGCCGCGCAAGTTTCTGGACGACTCCTATAAGGCTGCAAAAATTCTGCGCTCCTTTTCGCTTTCGTTTTACTTAAGGCTGTAGCTTCGCTGAGAGGTCTTGTTTTGACAAATGGATGATCCGACGCCAATACCTCGGCGGCTAAAAACGATCAAATAATTAAGTATTCGTTAGCCACAGTTTTGGTGTAATTCTAATTTGTTTCTAATTACCAACAAGAGGGCTACTGAACACTCCCAGACAGTGCGTATCATCTACCCACTTTAATTCAAAACCACCGTTTTTGAAAGGACTGAATACCGCTGCTAAATCGCTGGTCTTGAATTCTGACGGAAAATTGTATATTTCAACAACATGAGCAAATTCATCGCTAGATACTTCAATGTGTTTAGTGTACGGCTTATAATCGTTTTTCGGTTGTTCTATCATGACATCACCGACAGCTGATGTTAACTAAAGATAAAATTAGTATAAGAACATTTTATTCCTTATACTATAGAAAGATAAATTACTGTTACAATGAAATATTTGCCTCTTCAATGAGTGATGGATCTAAACAGTCACCATTGTCATCAAATAAACTATCCCAGTCGCATTCATCCCTGTTTATTTTTTTAACAGGCGGAGAAGGTGGCGGTGCGGGTTTGCTTTTTTGTCGTAACCTAACTTTTTTTACCTTCTTCTCCGGCGGTGTAGTAGGAGCGGGACTGACTTCTTTAACAGTTGGTGGTTCTTTCTGTACAGCGTCCGAGATAATTAAAACGTTCGACACTATATTATGATGCATCATTTGTGCGTTCTTTTGATTCGTGATTTCATCTTTATTTGAAAGTTCTTTATTTTTCTTGTTATTATTTTCGGTTGAATTAGTTATAATAACATCATTCTTATATTTATCAGATCTGTCTATTTCTTCATTAAGATTAACTTCACTATATACACATGTTTCAACTGAGTCTAAACTACTTTTACTTTCACTAGAATTACTAGATATTTTTTCTTCTTCAACAGTCTGTGACTGAAATGCATCAGTTACTTCACATGTTTCATCAAGAGCAGTGGAACTGTTCGAATTATTTGGCACATCATCTAAACTGTCCAACTGCTCAATTTTCTCTTCATTACTAGTATCCAATATTGATACTTCTGAAACAGCTGAACAGGCTGTATCTTTTGAGTCTGCTCGAAGACACATACTACTAATTTCACATTCTAAATTATTTTGATCTTTATCAAAACACGCATTTGATCCCTTTTTTGTACATTCTATGCTTTGCTGTACATTAGAGTCAGCTTCTTTAATGTTTAAACTTGATTTTGATTGTCCATGAGAAGCAGAAGACAAATTGTCCTTAACCACACGATGTATACGAACAGATTCTACAGGTTGAGGACTTCCTTCTGTTTCCAAACTCCTGCGATGTCTTGGTACATAAACTGCACGATCTGGCCTTCTCTGACGTGTGGCTCTTAATAAAAATAAATTACCAAAGTATGTTAAATAATGTGTATTTTAAATAAATGTAAATTCTTTTTAAGGAATCAGAAGGAAAAAGAAACAAATATGGACACAATTTCTTACTTCCCAGCAGGTGAATCAGTAGTTGGTTGCACTTGAACTTGGTCCACATTTGTTTGAAGTTCATTTCTAGCCCTCCTAGCAGCTGGTGGTCTGTAAATCTCAACTGCTGGTGTTGACTTCGCTAAAAGATCGAACAACTATTTCAATTAAGTTTAGATTCCATTTTTGAAGAGAAAAAAACCGTCCAGGTTATTCCTTAATCACCTTGTCTTTGAACTCGTACGCGTTCTGGCGATGCGGAGGGCGATCGTCGTCCTTCGACGCCCATCTCGAGCAACGTAGTAGTGTCTTTCGTTGCACAATCCGATTTACACTGTACACCATTCAATTTTGGATCCCTTGAACGTCGAAAATAAAAAATTACACGTTTGTTAAGTTCACGGAATTTATATTTTTCTTTTTAAATGAACTAAGTAGCTTTCTGACACGATCGAGTACTACGCCGCGCGACCTTGAGCCGGTCAGTTTCACTTTCGTTTGCCGCTGCTACGTCGTAAGAATTCCACTCTTGTAAACCCATTTCGTAACAGTATTAAGCTTGTTTGTGAATTTCGCATAAATCTGATTTAATTTAGAGCCCGTTCTACTTTCGTAGGGTCCGGGTATTAACGTTAATATTATTTTTAAATCAGTCCCACTGAAGTGATGCAAATGTGTTGTGGCTAAACTGTAAAGTGACGTAAGAATTGTACAGTAATTCATAGTAAACTCTAATATAAAATACTGAAATTTTATATTCTCGATACTTTACCAACGCAACAGCAATGAAATAAAAAAAAAAAATTATTACACAAACTCACTCTACCACCAATGGTGTACGGTTCAATTTTTTATAAGGCATATAACAATAATGATTTGTTTTAATTCATCACGAACACTATATTCACAATTTTTACACGAACCACTGAACTATGCGATACATCAATCGTTATCAAAGTGTACGTCTACTCTTATCGATATCGATTATCGACCGAGAGAAAACCAAAAGAGGCGGGAAACAATGAAATTCTACTCTTCGATTCTCGTTCACCCCACACGTCACTAGAACCACGAGCAACCACTTGGATACCTTATCACGTCACTCTTGTAACACACGACGGTCCGTCTAGCAGAATTCTGGCCGATCGAGAAAGTGTGCAGATCGGTAAAACGGTCCTGCACCAGCTGGTGTATGATGTACCTCCGATAGTTGTTCACAGGTGGAAAGACGAGTACCCTGTAAAAGTGAAAAGATACGTGTTACGATCGTGATTGAAAGTGAGACCGGACTGAGGACGGCCAACGGGTGAACGTAACCGCCTTGCCCCGGGCCTTGCTCTGCCGTATCCCGTCAGATGAACAGACCCCGGCTAACTTTTACATAACGTTTAACTTTCTCCTTCGTTGGAGTTTCCTCAAATTAGAGCCATCCTCATATCCGAATAACTGTGTGATCGTTTCTGGTCACATTCCGCCGGCTATCACATGACCTCGTTAACATTTCACATAATCACGCACCATGGAAACCGGCTATGTATTACGTTCGACCGGCGTAAAACGACAGCTAAAGCCGGGAATTTATTATGTGTAACACCGTAACCGGATGTTTTTAGAAAGTATCGAGACCATTAGAACGCGTGCAGCACGTAATCGACATAGAAGGAGGAACAGGAAGTGGCTTTTATCTCGCGATCTAGCTGAGATTCTTTTCACGGAACGTAAATAAACGATCACCGCTCTGAAGGATGCTGGGAGCAAGATGGATTTTCGCGTTCACGACGTTACGAGGATTTCACGATTATAGTTAAATTACATGCCAATCGTTCAAGTGGAACGAACCGTGCGACGTGGTAAATTGTGGTTCTTCTGTGCTTCCTTAGCCGTAGATGAAAGCCGAGAAGAAAAAGAAATCGACACGAGTAAAACAACCTGTGTGTATACCTCTCTAGTGATCCGGTCTTTGAATCGCTGTATCGCAGGTTCGATCTGTTAATTACGTCCAGAGTAGACTAAATCGACGAGCCTTGAACTACAAAGAAGAAACAGAGTGCCGTATATCTCGTAAGTGTTGCGTGGTTCACGTAATCACGCGTATACGTGAGCGACATACGTTAAGCGACCGGTTGCACTCGCTAGATTAACAATTATCCGCGCAGAGGGCATTCAAAATCGCCCAGCTGTTTCTTTCGTGCGTGATTTCGATAATTATGCAATATGGCGTGCAACCGTTACAGTTTACGAAAGTTTTCTTTCCTTTTTTTTTTAAGTACAACAATGTTTTTTTGAGATAATTATAAATACAAAAAGATTCAAAATTAGTTTAGTTACCGAATATTGTGAAAGTCGCAAATGGAATGTTTGAATATGTAATATCAAATAAATATTCATGAAATATTTGAACTGCATGTAGGGCGGTTAAAGAACTGCAAATATTACGGTTCTTATGTAATGTTTGGAACGGTATTTAATCTGAGATAACCGTGGTTCATTATTTTCGTTGATGAAGATAATGCGTTCCATTAAACTTTGCGTTTCGTATAAATTTTCTCTCATCATCTAACGTCGGGTACACGTTCCGTCTATGAACGGCTATTTAACCAATATCCGCAACTTAAAAACCCACAATGTTTTCAGTATATTCCACGATTTTGTTTACGCAAAATCTAACGATAAGGCAGATCTACAATCGAGAATCGATGCAACGTTGGCCAATCAAATAAAAACTACCAGACTTCCGTGAAATGTATCTTTATTTTCTTCAGGCAATCTGCCAACGATTCGCGGTTCTTTTATGTTCCTCAAAACGCTATGCAGTTTTCTAAAAATAGAACTTTCCGGCTAGGAAAAACACATACATATACGTTCGAAGTACGCGGGCCACGCAAAAAAAAAAAGAAGAAAAAATACGTAGAACTCACTAATGCAACGAAACCATACGTTTAGAGACACACGTAGCAGCGAGCATGACTGTAGCTTAGAAAATGACGATATCAGCCATTTACCTTTAGAGTAAGATATTTATAAATGTTCTGCTCGGAGGCCGTGAAAGAAGTCGATAACTTATTGCGCGCTTTTCAGTGGTTGTACGGTATCACAAATCGTCTTCGAGAATCTAAGGGCAGTTCTAATCGCGTTCGAATTCCGATTGCGTGTCAAGGATGCAGATAATTTAACGTAACATATCCACGTCACGTAACGTTTGGTAAATTCGTTAGGAAAATCTACGAATGATTAAATCAACGTTATTTATGATTGGTCTTATCATACATTTTTGCACCATCGACAAATGTCAACAATCATTTTCATCGAATCTTTCGAAACCCCATGAGGAACGAGTTTCGCGAAGAAAGCTCTGCTCTACGGTGTGCCGTAATAAATGTTTGTGGAAATCGAAAGTCGAAGATAATGCCAAAGGCACAACGTAAAATCCGTGCTGATCTAACCTTTAAAGGCGCGTCGTTGCATCGAGAAACGTGATCGTTTAGCTCCTACCTTTTCCGTCTCTTGTCCCTTGAAAATAGAGTCACGTCGTGCTCCACGTCCTCGGAGAAAAGACTGTCTTGCAAGCTCATTTATTTGCGCAATTGTACGCAGGACACACATATGAGAAATAATTTAACACTAAATTGGATTCATCGAATATTACTCTATAAAATCGCGTTTACCGTGCTGCCCGATAGCAGCAACGGTCTCTACTCGACGCACATTGACCATAAACTACTTTGGGATACATTGCGCATGCGTTTGCTTGTTTTAACCTTTTTGGTTAGTACGCATGCGCGCAATTTAAAAACGTAATCTAGTTACGTGCGAAATTTTTACCCGCCGATGTGTTCTCCCTTGTTGCGCATTTTATGAATTGGGAAATTAACGTAAGTCTTTGCCTTTCAATCTGTTAGTTTTAGCTTATAACTTTTTAAAACGAAATCTCACATCTTTTTACCGAAACTTTTTGTCAGAAACTACGAAATACGTAATTAATCGAGAGATTGAAAGATTAACGATTTTCCGGGTACACGACATTATTGCATAAGTGCGTGATACAAGTTTTCTTGTTTCGTTAAGAAGTTGTTGAAATGTATATTTTATGGTTTCGATTTCTTTTTACGGTTTCATCGCACGCGACAAGGTTGCTTTGAGTCATTCGACAAAAATTAGTATTCCGACGACAATCTTTCGTGGCATCAATTTGGTGATCACGTAAAGTTAGATAATTCGGGTGTCAGTAGTCCAGTTCAAAAAATTCGTTAGACATTTTTCGTCTGTTAAGATGTTCGAGGAACACCTATGAACTTTAAACTTTCGTAAAATACGAACGTGAAGGATTTTTAGCGATGAATTACACGAATACTGTACAAAACATATTTATTTAATAATTTATGGAGATACACACATAGTGTACAACGTACAAGCCTTAGCATTCGTAAAATGCTGCTACTTTATAAAGTCGATTTCATTTCATTTTTTCCCCTAGAATATTTTATATACAATCACACGAGCTTTCGCTTTACACTGTTCGTCGAAACAAGTTCATTTAACTACAAGCGACAAGTGCCCCGGCTGTTTCGCTCAACGCGTCGTTGTCCTTATCAAATCCCTCGAGAAAATATGTCGCATCTGATAAAATTTTTTTGTAGCCCGGCATTGAGAGAAACTCGGGGCCGAATTAGAATGTGTACAGTGCATAAACATACAAAGTTAAAGGAGCCCGTACTCTCTATCCCTGTTCGGACCCAGCTTCTTTGTTACTTTTTTGTTCTTTTCTCATTTCTCTAATACAAAGCTGCGTCTACGCGCAATGTTATCGGAATTCTGTCAAAAATATTCTATATACAATTAGGGTATGTATAAAAAAGAAATTCACGTCTTAAGATTACAAGAAGAGGGGCGACCTTGTTCCGTTGCCGTGTACGAAAGAAGCAACAAATTCTCGTCCGTGACAGACACCAACTGCCATTTTCGTATCTCAGAACAAAGAACGTCGTATTTATAGAGAATCGGTAGAGTACCACGCAAGGTGTCACGCCACGGTCTCGACATGTATAACATTGTAACTAAATATTTAGAATTACGTTCAGCGATACTGCGAGTGAACGAAAACTGTTCTGTTCTCTCGTCGTAATAGCGTCGCTTTGATTTCTTGGTCTACTTACACTTACGCGTTACACAAATCTAGAAATGAATTCGCAACGAACATTTAAAAAGACGAGTTAATGTAACTCAGTTAGAAGATAGTACGTAAACGATTTAATACGCTAACTAGAAAAGGGAAAAGAAGGATGATGGAGTGTGTGGAACGATGGAATTGCTATTGTTGAAAATATGTCGTGCTAATGACTATTGGTAATCTGGTTAAGGTGATACGGTAAAAAGATGCTTGCCTAAAGCTGGCTGCCTTTCTTTCGTCGCAGGAAACCATTTTCGAAATTTAATTTCGAATTTCTTACGGTGAGAGAACACAGAAATAAGTACTACGACGGGCGATACACGGATAGAACTAGGAAACGTATAAAGTAGGTACAAGATTCTTTGTGATTTTCATCGCGTTATCGAACACAGAGATATTAGTCTTAAATGTCTATTCGTGGTCTATATTGTAGCCTTAAAGGTGGGTCCCGGAACCTCCATCTGGTTACATAAACAAATTTCAACGTATGGTCCTTACCTAATAGTTCATCATTGCACAAAATATCAATCTGCAAAAAGTATCATTAATTGGTAATCTTGATACTGCTAGAAATCTTGCATTGTTCTTACTCACATCTCGATACTTTTCCATCCCATTTAACACTTTCTTTGCAATAAACTTTTTCAAATGTGTAATGGTTGCTTGGGCAGAGCACCTAATAAATCTTCGTTTCAAGGTCTTTAAACTTGTGTTCATGCATTCCAAACACACATTAACCTGTGAGAATGTCTGCTGTTTAGTATTGTGAAAAATCCTTTGAATTATGTAGCAGTTTTTAATGTTCTTTACTTGTTCATCAGTACGGTGATAATCTGATTCTGCATGTGCATCTGCTGTTGCCTTTTCTTCTTCAACTTCTCCAGCATTCGGTAGGATATCTTTTGGGCAAGGTAAACCTCTTGCTCTATAAAATTCTCTTTCTCTTTTAATTTCATCTAAAATCAGATATATTGTAAATATACTGTCAGCTATATAAGATTGCTTTCTTTATTATTTTTATTAGTGTAAAAGCTACTAACTTTCTTGTAGATCAGGAACTAATTTATAGACAATATCTTGCATAGTTCTGTCAAAGCTTATGTATTGGAGGGGATGTGACTGGTGTATGACTATTTGGCATGTTGGACAGGTGTGCTTCTCTTCCAAATGTTTCACTAGGCAGCTTTTGCAAAATGTGTGTAAACATTCCGTAACAGTGGTAGCATCTATCAAATAACCCCTGCATATCTTGCACGTTATGTGACTGTTCAGTGTTTTCAACTTGATTCTCCTCTCCATGGCACTGGTAATCACCATTTAATAAATCTTACTACCTGCGACACCATACAAGCACCACCTAATTACGATACTGACAGATTACTTTGAAACTACTACATCACAAAATTCTGAGCATACATATCAATCCACAGTATATCTGTTCGTGATAAAATGAAAAATTCCAAGACAACCTTGACAAAGTGTTACACATAAGATAGCATTGGAAAAACGATCAAAATCCAGTAACACGTAAATCCCATAAAATTGTTCGTACTGTCACACGGTTTAACTCGTTCATAATTCGTCGAGGATCGAAACGGGGGCCGTTTTGACAACGATCGGCGTGAAGAAAGAGATTCGGTGCACCGAAAAAAGTGGGTTATCAGATTCTAACCTGAATGTCGAGTGTTAGCACACAACGGCAACTTTCACCCGTGTTATTCGTTAGGGAGTTTCATGGGAACTGTCCGTACCATCCTTGGCATCTTTCGTCGTTGAATCGAAGCTAAGTGGAGGAATACAAAATTAAACGTTCCACTAAAAACCTGGTAAAAACAACTTAGTGTAAATGTGGCTGATGACAACAAAACGAACTGATCCCAGCGCCATCGCTTGTCTCATGGTCAACTTTTCTCTGGACACGCGGTTTCGTCAGATGGTGGGGGGCTCTGATATCCTCTCGATCAATCATAGACCAATTTGTCTAATCATTTAAGCGCGTTAACGCGTCGACATCTATTTTATATATCGCGTAACTCGATTAATTCGAATCTATGTTAATCAATTTGGCGGGAATACAGGAGAAATATGAATATTATTAGTCGACCTTAAAGGTAATATATCTCGTTGTTCGTAAATTGAATTTCGTGCATAGAAATTTGTTGAAACGAATATTTCTAGATTTTATTAGAATCATTTTATAATTCAACCTATGTTTAAGTTGAGGTTAGGTATTTTATCGGAGTTTAAGATAGCTACGAAAACTGTTCGAATCGATATATAGTATTTATCCAAAATATTATTTTAACATTTTAACATTTGAATCGTAGAAATTGCAAAAGTCACGAAAACATCTGGAAATAATAAACGGTAGACGGTCGAGTAATGTGGGTACAGTTTCCAGTGATTTATTCGAGACGAAACTCACGTTACAATAATAATCCAATATTTACGCAGACTATACATACAATCTACCTTGGTAAATGCTGATTTACTGGCTACCTTTAGGTGCTGGGAAACAAAAAATGAAAAATACGGAGAGAGAGAAAAAAGAGAGAAAAGATGGAAAGAGAGAGAGAGA